GGGGGGTACCTCCTCATACTTTAACCTAATGCACCACTGCGGCACTTCCTCCACTCTATAGCTACAAAAGAGCTACTGGTGTCCAAATCACCCTGAACCAACCAACTGCCAGTGAGTTGGTGCTGACTCATAGTGACCCTATGCTGGCTTCCCAAGACTATAATTCTTTATAGCAACATATATGAGTGCTTGGATGTGCAAGTAAAGGGTACCTACAGGCATATGTGTGAGCTGCATATATACTCATACATACAATGAAGCACATAAGGGCACAATTAAAGAGATTCCTTTAACATATTTGCATGCAGGACTGGCTTACTTATTAGACTTTTTAGGACCACAGTCTCATGGACAACTCAGTCAAATGGAATAAAATAATCCATAAAGATAACATCTTAGTTCGGTGAGTACTGTGTCTGGAACCTTAAAAGCTAGTGAGCCGCCATCTAAGATACAACAGCTCTCCATCTCTGTTACTGGGGAACACACGAGAATGGAGGAAACTAAAGACTCAAAGAAGAAACGAATCCATAGACGAATAGCCCATGAGAATCACAGCCTCATCTAGACTGAGATCAAGAGTAGACAGTGCTTGTCAACCACTATTGGCTCTTTTGGCCACAATGGTAGGTCCTGGATAGAACAGGAGAGAAATGTAGAACAAAATTCACATTCCAGATTAAAGGAAACTGAGACTATTGTTCTAAAATACACTTGGAACTTGGAACTAAAACCACTCACAGGTGTCTCCTTTCATCCAACTAACTGATTGGATTATAAAAAAATATATATCACCTGTGAGAACTGTGTGTCCTTGAACAATTAAGTCTAGGAGAACGTATGCTCAACATTTACTCTAAAGCATAAGTTCCCAAATTTATTTGCCCTACTGCCTCCTCTACAGAAACAAAGAAGCAAAAAACTCGGTGCCCATTGGCAAACTTTTGCATTTTTGTACCATAGCCAGTAATCCAGGATAAAGTGTAGGTATCTGCTTTTGCAACCCTCCTGCATCATTCCAGAACCTCCCTGGGGGTGGTATTGCCCACTTTGATAAACCCTGCTCTAAGCCAATGTGAAAAAGTAAGGGCGAGGCAGGGAAGCTAGATTAATGAAAATAGAACAAACAAAAAAGTAATGAAAATGCTGACATATGTGGAAATGTAAACAATATTGTGCAATAATTGATATAAAAAGTATTAAATAGGAACCTAACATGTTGCATGAACTTTCACCTAAAACACAATAGCACCTTATTTTAAAAGCAATTTAGCAGATATGAGTGATAGTGAAGAATATAATACACATAAGTTAATGTGAATAAATGATTTACATAAAGACTGTTGGAATTTCAAAAAAGAAATGTACTTAGTTAGCTATAATGGGAATTGCGCAGTTGTAAGGCAATAGATAAACCTTAAGGCAGGGAGGGAGTCCAGTTAAGTGGCAGTGGTGGTAATATAGATATTAACTAAGAAGACAGAGGCCCCTGCCATCCAAACACTTACAGTCCAGTCATATAATAGAATGAGTTCAATATCATTTTTCTAAGAAAAATTAAAAAGAGTAGAATATTTGTGCTTTGTTGTGATGAAGTTAACATATGAATTAATAATGATTATCCTTAATAGGAATGAAAGCTGAATGATTAAAGCAGGTGCACAGAATGGCTGAGCAGTGATCATCTCCTTGGCCTTTCTGATTTAGGTTTCTTCTATCTTGAGCATTCTATGACCCCAGCCGACTTTCTTGTGGGAAATGTTTTTGTCCTCTGAACCACTTTGATCTAAGGTTAATAGCATAAACAGCGGGGACCAAGAACAATTACAGCAGCACTTTTCATAAGAGGGAGAGCCAGGAGACAACTCAGATACCCATCCATGAGAGACTGAATGGTAAACTCTGATAGACACCTAATAGAATATTACATACCGTCAGTACAAATGAACAGCAGAGACAGTTATATGGATAATTACTAGGCATTTAAGTGGCATGTCTCAAAATGTTATAGAAAATATGAGACTCTACCCATAAACTAAAACTACTTATGCTTAAAAATATGTAGATGCATTTAAAGACGAAGATGAATGCTGGATGTCGAGTCCTTGGGGAGGAGGAAAGGCGCGGAGATGAATTCAAGGGGCTGCATGTTCAGCGTTAAGAGTTATTAGTGTCCTAAACTTTGTTTGGAGTGTTAGGCTTGGAAGCTTACAAACCCTACAAGTGCATTGCTCACAATGACTAATGGAATGACTCAGTAATAAATATAAGAACTCTCTATATGGATCATTGATGAGAAAGTTTGATGAACTGAGAGATATGATTTATATTGTGCCCCCTAAGCTTAACAAAAAGACACAAAAAGTAGGCAAATGATAACAATGTCCCATTTACAGGATACTAACGGGCCCGGACTGGGAATGGGGAAACGGGAAACTAGTAAAGAAGGGTAGAAAACCAAACCAAGCCAAAACACTTCACTGCCATCGAGGCCGTTCCAAATCACAGAGACCGGATGAACTGCCCTGTAAGTTCATGAGATTGTAGCCTTTTATGGGAGTGGAATGTCTCATCATGCTCCTGTGGTTTCGAACTGCCCACCTGTGGCTAGTAGCTTAACGTGGAACCCACTAGGCCACCAAAGGCTAGAAGAGAGGAGAGAGAGAGAGAGAGAGAAAGAAAGGAAGAAAGGGAGAGGGAGAGAAGAAACTGAAAGAGCATGGACTGGGAATTTGGAGAGGTAGAGGGAGGAGAGGGGCAAGGTCAGGGGTAAGGTCAGTCCTGGTGTTTGGCTAATAGGGGAAAAGTCATTGTGTTTCTGACATTGCCAGGTTCCTTCTGAAAGACTCATAGAGGGAAATGGAGCCAGATTGCCACCATGCACCTCAAAAGGAACCTTTACCTGGAGTGACAAAGGATCTAAATCAGGTTTCAGTCTTTCAACTCCTTACAGTAACAATTCAAGCCCTGGTCCAGTAAGTACATCAAACTGAAAAGAAAGCCCCTGCCTCCCAGTTTTCTTGTTTCCCCCCAGGTCCTAGCAATTGAATCACATTTAGTTGCCCAACATACTCACAGCTTTATGATATCTGATCCGAAGATGTGAATCACTAAGTAGCAGGTGGTCTTCAAGGATAGTTTTTCTAAGAAAAATAAAGAAGGGGAGTTATTTATGCTTTCTTGGGATAGATATGACATGTGAGTTAATAATGATCATCTTTACAAGGAGCTAAATCTTAGTGATTAATTTATGATTCATTCGAGTGATTAGTTGTAAGTATTAGGGGAAATGTTACAGCTAATGTACCCATTAAAATATCATTTCCATCTCAGGTTTATGTGAATGCCACAGTGTCTGCTGTACATGACAAAGACCACAAGTTCGTTCTGAAAATGCAGTTACATTTGGGGTTTTTATTTTCTTCTTCATAGCAGGGGCTATCTGAACATTGGCTAAGATCTCATCTGTTGTAGTTTAAGGAAACTGAACTTGCTTTAAAGTAAATTACCTGAGATAGAGCTCTGTTGGAAATATTATTTGTTAGTTTTTGTTTAGGAACATTTTTCGTGTGGATAATTTATTTAAACTCTTGTTTTTTTCAGAGATAAAAAGAAATTAACCTCTGCACTGCTATTTATAGTGCACACACACACACACACACACACACAGCATTTTCTTCCCTCATGAAAATACCGTAAAGCTTCATAGATTGATCTAGAAAAGTGTCCTGACCCTGTTTCTTTAGTGTGAGTCTACTGTGGAGCTCTGCTCATTGCACTTAGGACCTTTGCACAGTTGGGGCAGTGCGGAAGGGCTGGGAAATCCTGCCCGAGGAGAATTCATCCTGTCTTCTCTGTTACGTCTCAAAGGGCGAGGTGATGAAACTGCAGGATAAGAATGGTAAGCTCTTTCTCCACTTCAATGTTACGAAGCGGCAGCCGCTGTCGGCAGCTGTTCACGCTAGTCTGACGCCCCGCGACCTGTGTGCGCAGAGTTAAACTCTTGCCTACGATTCTCAAGGCTGTCACCTTTAGAAATAGAATGGGTGGCCTATTTTCTGAGGTGCCTCTGAGTGAGCTCAAACTAGCAGTACATAACGTTAAATAATATTTTATGTTAAAATATTTACTCGTACAGCTTTTATTTTTACAATACAGCATGAGACTTCAAACATATTTTGATCTTGAAGCATTCCATTAAAAACCTTATTTCCACATCACTATCCGTCTTATATAAGGGAATACTATGAACAGACATATGCAACAAAGTGGATAGCTTAAAGGAAATAGAAAAGTTCCAAAAAGATATAAACTGCTGGAACTGACTCAAGAAGACATAAAATATTTTACTAGATGCACAACAAGTAAAAAGATTGAGTTAACAATAAAATAACTTGCCATAAAGAAAACATTGGGACCAAATGGCTTTATTGGTGAATTCTAACAAATATTTAGATGATTTATGAACTTGTCCAGAAATAGGATATTTATTAACTCATTCTATGAGGAAATTATTACCCAGATACTAAAACCAGCCAGGCATCCCAAGAAAATAAAATGGCAGGCCAATATCTTATATGAATATAGATGTAAAAAACTCTCAAAATTATTAGCAAATCCAATCCAATAATATACAATAAAGGATTATATATTATGATGAAGAGGAATCTATCCCAAAGATACAAGTTTTGCTTACGGTCTGAAATCAATTAATGCAATATCAATACAATAAAGGCTAAAAACTGCATAGTCATCTACTAGACACCAAACAGCATTTTACAAAACACAACATTCCTCACGATAAAAAGCTATCTCAACCAACTAGGAACAGAATAAAACTGTCCTGGGAGGGTAGACGGAGGTGGGGTGGAAAAGGGGAACCGATGACAAGGATCTACATGTCACCTCCTCCCTGGGGGATGGACAGTAGAAAAGTGGGTGAAGGGAGACGCCATACAGTGTAAAATATGACAAAATAATAATAATTTATAAATTATCAAGGGTTCATGAGGGAGGAGGGAGTGAGGAGGGAGGGGAAAAATGAGGAGCTGATACCAAAGGCTCAAGTAGAAAGCAAATGTTTTGACAATGACGATGGCAACATATGTACAAATGTGCTTGATACAACTGATGTATGGATTACTGTAAGAGCCCCCAATAAAATTATATATATTAAAAAAAAAACTCTCTTGATTTGATAAAGGTCACTTATGAAAAACGAACCCCCCCCCTCCCCGCTTATATGATAATGGTGACAGAGTGACCATGTTGTTCAAGATCAGGAATAAGGAAGAATGTCTGCTTTCATCACTTCTATTCAAGATTGTACTGGAATTCTAGCCAGGAAAATTAGGAATAAAATGAAAGAAATTCAGCTTAGAAAAGTAATAAAATCATCTCTAATTTCAAATGACACTATTTTGTGTGAAAAAATGACAAAGAATCTATATTAAAACCTATTAGACATAATAAATAAGTTTAGCAAGATTTCAGGATACAATATCAATATGAAAAAAATCAATTGTATTTATAGACAGTACAAATAATCAAACCACAAATAAAATTTGAAAATCAATATTATTTAAAATAGAATAGAATAATTAAATACTTATGAAAAGTTTAACAAAAATTCATATTTTAAAACTACCAAAAATCTGCTTAAAGGAATTAAACTAAAACAAACAAACAAATTCACTGCCAGCAAGCCAATAGGACAGGGTAGCATTGCCTCTGTGAGTTTCCAACACTAAAGCCTTATGAGTAGAAAGCCTCATCTTTTTCCAACAGCGTGGCTGCTGGCTTTGAACAGAAAGGAATTAAAGAAGACCTCAATAAGTGAAGAGACTGCCCATGTTCATGGATGAGTAGTCTTAATACTGTGGAGAGCACAAGACTCTAATAGTTAAGGTTTTCTGTCAAATTGGCTAGGCCAGGATGATCAGTGTCCTGGCAATTCATACTTAGCAATCACCCATGACTTGACCTTAGATTGTAATCACAGCCAGATCAGTGCTGAGTCTCCATAAGGACAGAAGATTAGCACATAACCCTTCTTGGGGCACAGCCCTGATACAATGGAGTGGAAGTTCCCTCCAGGGTGTGGCCTCCTTCTAATATAAGTGGAGGTTGTGGAAATGTTTGTTTTGATTTTTGCTAGGTATGGGCATTTAATGGACTTCTGGTTCTTGGGACTACAGCCAAGAGCCTGCTGTTTTGCTTGTTGACCCTGTGAGTCATCAGCAGACTGCCATATGACCTGTCATTTTGGGTTCATTTCCCTATATAGCCACAAACCTAACCATCTGACCTTGGCCGCACTCACTTCTGTAGGCACTAGCCTGTGGACTTCCTGACAATCTTGGGTCCATCAGGCCCCACAGCGGTGGGAGTCATTAGAAGCCTCTAGCCTAGTGGTTCTCAACCTTCCTAATGCCGCGACACTTCAGTACAGTTCCTCATGTGGTCGTGACCCCCAACCATAAAATCATTTTTGTTGCTACTTCACAACTGTAATTTTGCTACTGTTATGAATTGGGTGACCTCTGTGAAAGGGTTGTTCGAGCCCCAAAGGACTCAGGACCCACAGGTTCAGAACCGCTGCTCTAACCTAATATGTGACCCATGGCGTAGAGCCTCCCTGGGCTTCTCTTGATATCTGCATATATGAGCATCACTGGTTTTCTTCTAGAGAGAACAGCCAATGACATGCCCAAACCAATTTCTAACACACTCTCAGCTGTATTCTTAGTAAATATTGACCAGCAAATCTTAAAATTCATAGGGAAAATCAAGGGATCAAGCATAGCCAACACAATCTTAAAAAGGAAGAACAAATGTGAAGGATTTGCACTTTATTTACTACAGAGTTACAATAAGCAAGACAGTGTTTCATGTAATAAGAAATTGTTGTTAGGTTCTGTGGAATCAGTCCAAACAGTAATCCTATATACAACACAATAAAACACACAAAAACATATAAATCAATTGAACAGAACGGTGAGTCCAGAAATAAACTCATACACACATCAATTAAATATTGACAAGGGTGCATAGACGATGCAATGAAGAAAGAATTGTCTGTCCAACAAATGGTACTAGGACAGCTGAAGAGCCAGATGCAAAAGAAATAATGTAGAACCCGACCTCATAGGGCATACAAAAACTAGCTCAAAAAAATCTAAGATCTACACTTTGAATAACAACAATAACCCCTATTTTTTTTAGAATTAATATTATCAAGATATAATTCACATATAATAAAATGCATCATTTTCAGGTATACAGTTCTATATATTTTGACAAATATGCACACCACTGTAACAATCATCACAATCAACAACTATTTCCATAACCAGTGTGGTAGTCACAGACTACTTGGTATCAATTTAAGGATGAAGAGTGTAGGGGTAGAGTCTAAACTGTCAATCTGGAGATAGTCAATGAGACTTCTGTGTGGGCCTGGCCTTCTCCTGAGAATCCTGGGAAATCTGGTACTTCCTCCTTGGAGGGGGAAGACACCTCTCTCTCTACTGCTCCCTGGGAGACATTGCAGAAGACAAGCCACATGGATGCAATCAGACCTCGGAAGCTGGAGAAGCCACCCAGAGAGACCCCTGCCAGCACTGAGATGCTTACAACTCCACTGGACCCAAAGACTTTCTACCCACTGGCTTGTGATCGTCCTGCATTTGGCTTTATTGCATGTATTTCATGAGTCTGAAGAGGACTTTATAGATTGGCATCAGACATATGGGCTAATATCAGACTTATGGCCTTGGACTGGACTGGGTTGGGATGTTTTCTCAATGTTCAATTCTTCTTGTATATAAACCTCTCCCTTATATATGCACATTTATGAATTTGTTTCTCTAGTCTACCCAGACTAACACAACCAGAATAATTTTCTCACACTTCTTTGTTGTTAAAGACCTAAGTTCAAGAGCTAAAACTATAAAAATCTTAGAAGAAAACAGAAGTGTAAAATTTTGTGACCTTGGATTAAGCAAAGATTTCTTAGATATGACTGCACAAGCAACAAAATAAAGAGATAAACTGAACTTTAGAAAAATAAAACGATAACAAATTGGTGGACATCATCAAGAAATTAGAACAAAGTTCACAGAATTTGCTAACCTTATATCTG